TGGAGAAAGTTAAAAATAGTACATTATTGTTTTAACTGATGAAAATGTTTTTAAATCAAATTAAAGAGGTGTTTTATCAAAGATCAATAAATTATGACACAAATGCGTCACTATATAACACTGTTATTATTTAGTAAATTCCTTGAGTATATTCTATACAATAAATAACAATTCATATATTAAATACTTTAATAAAGAACAATTAATCACAAAGGACAAGCAAAGACTTGTATAAATGACAGTAAAACTAGAAATCAAGCGAAATATAAGCACAAACGAGACATTATAAATTGTCCCTATATGCGTGCAAGGTATACAAATATATAAAAAATATAAACGGATGTGCCAGTTAAATATCGTGCACAATAATCAACCCGGTCTAGAATAATTTTGTTGATGCAAACGAAATTAACAAAAGCAAAAAAAATGGGAAAACTTAAAATTTTAAAATTTAGAAGTTGCTTTGGGCAATCTGAGTGAGCGAACGATTATAGCATACCAGACATTTTAATCTTTAACTTTGTAAACAATTACATTATGACATACTTTGGACTTGAAGAAATATTCAGTAATATGTAACATGCAAACAAGAAGGAAACTGTAGGCTGGCATCGTGTTACTATGCAACACTAGTTGGCGGTCAGTGTGGACCTAGTTCGTACAATCCTTCTATTGTAGAATGCGTAACAATCAAGGATTGTAATAAGGACATTTTAAACCATTGCTCACAATATAAAATTAGTAACGATTGTGGCCTGTCTGGAAGTGAATCAATGTTACTTCTTGCTCGTGCAGGTAACGTCACCAAATTTAATGTTTATTTTTCATCCTTTGACTTTGTTGACTTACTGTTTGCAAATTTTAAAGATTGTAACTAAAACGTATCGGTATTCTTTAGGAATTTTTGAAATCGACGAGTCATACATGAAGATGACAGTGTGTCCTTTACATCGAGATTTGTATGGCATTTGCTGGAGGTGCAACAAGACCAGATGCTCAATTCGAAATGACCTTGCAGCACATAAATCTTTATCCGTCAAAGCTCAATGTTGACTGACAACTTTATTATCATCTTTTATTTTTAACAAGACCAAGATACTTATTCCTGTAGGAACAGGTACGAGGTTAATTTATTCAATACAGGGTGTCCCAAAAAAATGCCCCCTGTCATATTTGGTGGTATTATTTCGCTATATTTAATTAAAGGTTCAATTTTTTTGCAGTGGGTTGAAAAACAATCATATTATATTAATCATAGTATTTATCTCACCAAAATACTTCTAGAGATACTTAAGGTGGCGCCACCAATTTTGCAACACGTCCAAATTACTGAAATTAGGTTAAAAATAATGCAAACTTTGCAGAAGGATTTCTAAAGTTTCTACCCACCTTTTTGCTCAAAAACAAAATGTTTTTTATCCCTTGCATGAACTTAAAAAACGCATTCATCACTCAGATCTCTAATGTACTCTTTTAAAGTTTGTCTTAAAAATTAATAGCATTGTTTTCGTTATTCTGCATTCTTTTGTTAATGAAATGCGACAAAACTGTCACTGTAATTACCGTTGTAATGTACAAACGTGTTGTCAGGCAAAATCTAAAAATAGCATCAACATTTTGACTTCTCACTGGTGCGGGTTTTGCTTGCCACCAGAGATTTTTTAATATGTTATAAACAGATGGCTACTTTGCAAGTTAGTCTTATTTTCGTTGCAATTTGTCATGTACCACGGTCCATTTGCACACATTGAAATTGACAAAAATTTGCCTTTCTGTTGTGAACCGTAAACACCAAATATTAGCTAGCTTTAAATGTCAAGAAAGATTTTGGAATAAAAAAAGATTTTGCTGCTAAGACAAAATATAGAGATGGTCTTAGATTATACTAAAAAATGGTCGTAATATGTTTGAAGGGTAGCTGTCACGAACGCTTTAAAATCCTGTATTTTGACTGATGAAAATTGACTTAAAAGTCCCAAAATCATGTTTAGGTAATTTCACGAAAAATAAGAGGAGCTGCGACTTTTGACCTATATTTTTCAAAATAACTCACTCAGTGGATACTATGGGTAAAATAAAAGGAATTTCGAATTTTCCAATTTGTCGCCCAATTCTCGAGATTTACGGACATTCACTCTTAAGGTCTCGAGTCCTTTCAAACTAAAGGCTCTATCTACAAGTGAGGAAACTATACTCTTAGAGGGACAAGTTTGTGAATGGGTCTGACCAATGACTTGTTTCCCAGCTGCACCTCTGCCACTCTGCTATGTCCGTCTTTCCCTGGATATGTCGCTATGATGCGTCCCAATGGCCATTTTCCTCTCGGTAAGTCTTTATCTAAGACCAGAACAACATCACCATCTTTCAAATCTTTTACCACGTTCGTCCACTTCGGTCGTGTGTTCAATATTGGTAAATATCCCTTCAACCAGCGGTCCCATACTCGTGACAGAATTGCTTGTACCTTACGCCATCTTTCACGAGGGTTAGCGTCCATGTCGATCACTTCTGGTGCGAATTCTCCTCCTAACTGACCATAAAGAAAGTGGTTGGGTGTGAGTGGAACATCATCAGAAGGATTCATCGATTGGTAGGTTATTGGTCGAGAGTTCAAGAAACCTTCGACACCTGCGCATATAGTAATCAACTCCTCGTCAGTAACATCACTGTTCTCAATCACCGCATAAATGGCCTTCTTAGCGGCCTTAACCATTATTTCAAAAACTCCACCAAAATGAGGACCTCCAGGAGGATTGAAAGCCCATGTAGTACCCTTCTGTGTTGTGTCTCGCTGAATCTTTTCTCGGTCTAACAGTTTCACCAAACCTATTAATTCGTTCACCGCCCCGACAAAGTTCGTACCGTTGTTACTGATTACTTCTTTAGGAACTCCTCTTCTACTGGTAAATCTGGTAAACGCATTGAGAAAACTGTCAGTATCAAGCCCCCAGGCTACCTCTAAATGGACGGCGCGTGTGGTTAGGCATGTAAACAAACAAAGCCACCGTTTAAGTCGTTGTTTTCCTCGTCCTTGGACTGTCGTGAACGGTCCTGCATAATCTAAAGCAGTCTGGTCAAAAGCTCGGTAGGTGAAACGAAGACGCACTTCCGGCAGGGGTCCCATGACTTGAGAAGCCAGCTTATTCCGTTGTTTTTGGCATGTACAACACTCGTTCTCCCATTCTCTTATTTCTTCTCTAGTTGCCACAATCCAAAATCTTTGGCTGATTTGAGCAAGCACAATATTAGTTCCTGCGACGTGGTTTGCCAATGCATGATAATATCGCACGATCAGTTTAGTAACCCAATGTCCGCGAGGCAGAATTATCGGGCATCTTGCGTCGTAGGGTAAGCTCTCAGCGTAGTAGAGACGGCTGTTGCACCGAATAACACCTTGCTGATCCATTCGCGGAGAAAGCTTCGCCAGTTGACTCTTCGCTGGCAGAGGTTTTCCCTTCGATAGCGCTGCGTACTCAGCTGCAAAGGACTCTTCTTGTGCCTTACGAATGATCACGTCTTCAGCATCACGAATTTCCTCCGGTGCGAGCTCGGTTTGGCCCTGCTGACGCTTCTGCTTGTTCCTCAAATTCGTCAAGAACCTACTAACTCTTGCTTGTATGCGGACTAAGTGCTTCCAGTTTGAAAACCGTTTTGGATCCAACCGCCAGATATCTGTGGGTTGTATCACTTCTTCTGCTTTCGTTGCCAGACTGTGACTACCATCAGAAACCACTGCACTTCCTTTGATATCCTTCTGGTAGGCAGCTTTCGTTTCTGGAAGATTAACTGGAGATTTCGTCAAATCCATTTGAGGCCACTGCGAAGTATCCTGTACCAACCATACTGGATCATTCCTTCACAACGTAGACTCGGACAATTGCAACGGTGTTGCACCTCGCGTGCACAGGTCCGCAGGATTTTCAGCAGTTGGAACGTGCTGCCACTGTGCAGGATTGCTATACATTTGTATCTCTCCAATTCGGTTAGCTACAAACGGTCGAAAGTCTCTCCCATAGCCACGAATCCACCACAGAACGTCAGCACTGTCAGAATAGAAGCTAACATTCTGCATGTTCATTTCAAACGCCCGAAAAACATTGTGCGTAAGTCGTAGGCCGAGAACTGCAGCCATTAATTCTAGTCTAGGTACCGTCATTGGTAGCAACGGTGCTACCTTACACTTAGAGACGATTAATCTGCTAGAGCGAGTGCCATCCTCGTATGTACATCTCAAATAGACAACAGCTCCGTATGACTTTAGTGAAGCGTCAACGAATGTCACTTCCTTGTTCTCACATAAACACCTTGGCACATGTATTGTTGCGACATCATGTAACTGCTCAAACCATGCTGATATCCGAATTGCGATTTCATCTTCGATTGTGCCATTCCAGTCGTAACCGCGAGCCCAAAGTTCTTGCAATATAACCTTGGCGACCATTACGAATGGACTGACAAACCCAAGTGGGTCAAATACCGCAGCAATCGTTCGTAAAACGTTACGCTTGGTTAGTGGAAGGTCGGAGGAGACTCTAGAAGCAGGTAGTGTCAGGAAATCTTCTTTTCTGTCCCAAGCAACACCAAGGGTTTTAACAACTGGATATTTGTCATCAGTAATTGTGAGCTGCACTGCTTGGTCTTCCACTGGGATAGCCTCCATAACCGCTTCCGAATTCGAAACCCACTTCCTTGCCTGCATTCCCGCATGATTCCAAAGCGAGCTTAACTGCCGATATAACTTAACGCCGATCTCGTCTGTCTCCACACTGTCTATCGAGTCATCCATAAAAGTCGACTTTAAAACGGTTTATGCCGCTAATGGATGGGTTTGTTGGTGTAGTCTTGCATTCTCTTGTGCGATGAACTGCGCCTCCATGGGGGCCGAATTCTTGCCAAAGACGACACGAGTGAACTCATAGACATCGGGCTCTTTCGTACTGTGTAGATCACGCCACAGAACTCGAAAATATGGACGATCGTTTTCTTCAATTTCCACTTGCAGATACATCTCTTTAATATCGCAAGCTAATGCTACTGGATGACGCCGAAAACGAAGTAATACATCGAAAAGCTCCTTCTGTAACTTCGGTCCAGAATTAATGACATCGTTCAAGGATAGTCCGTCTGTTTTAACCGAACAATCGAAAACAATCCGTACTTTTGTCGTTGTCTTGTCCATTCGAATAATTGGGAAATGTAGCAAATACCATACTTCGGGAGGGATCACTTCGTCTTTTCCGACTTTCCGCAAGTAGCCCTTCTCCATATACGATTCAATTGTATGTTGATACTCCCTGCTCACGATTTCATCCCTCTTCAACTTCCGCTCAGTGCTATCAAGTCTCGATAATGCATTGTTTTTGTTGTCTGGGAGTTTTGGACGATTCTCTTTCCAAGGAATGGCGATCTTGTATCTAGACGTTGCACTATTGTGGCTGATTGATTCTTTCACCTTCTTCAGAGCTTCCCTATCTTCTGCAGTATGAACCATCGAATTCATGTTCTCTGTACCATAGCTTTCAACTTCCCAGAATCTTTTGACCTGTTCATCGATCTGGCAGCAGTATGTAATTTCTGCAGTACTCCAGGACAAGAATGTTCTAATGGTGTGCGTTCTACAGTCAGTTCCTCGCTCTTTCTCTGTGGCTCCAATGCAACTCCATCCTAGTGGTCCGAGTCGGGCTATTGGACTTCCTGGTTCCCCCCGAACATCTGCTCTTGAATACAGTAAATCTGCGTTGTCCACTCCAATCAATAAGTCCACTAAACCTTCCTTTGCTGGTGTTGCAAAATGACAACTCTTAAGATGTGGCCAGTTGGTTTTATTCTTTGACCAATCCTCTACTTTGTAGCTTCCCGTTACGTTCTGAGGGCACGTTTTGACACTAATTTCCTTGCGATACTGTCCGTTAACACTTTCAATCATAACCTCCACGGGCATGGACTGGAACGTTTCAACCTCATTGTTTAACACATGAACTCTAACTGTCTTATACGGCTCTTGCAGTCCTAACACCCCAGCAACTTGTTCATTTAGAAATGTTTCATTGGAAGCATCATCCAGAATAGCGTTGACTTTAACTTTCCGACCATTTGCCTTTAACCATACTGGAATGGTACGAAGCGACAAAACTTCAGCAGTCGACACACTCTTATTTCTTGAAGAGTGTGTTCGTGTCTCTGCCCCCTCCCGTGTCAACGGTGACTTCTCGCCTTCTTCCTTCTCCTTCGGTACAACTTCATGAAACAAGTTGTGATGGCTTCTTTTGCACCCTTGCACTGCGCATGGCTTTGACCTGCTGCAGTCCTTACCGACCTGATTACTTGCGAGACATCGAAAACATAAATGTTTCTCCTTTACGACTCCCCAACGATCTGGCACACTCAAGCCAGAAAATACCTTACAGGACCAAACCCCATGATTGCCACCACATACTGCGCAAGGTGGCTTTGAATACGGGCTGCGTGTATCGTCGTTGCTGTGTTTTCCATCTCGATTAGTGAACCAGATTCGAGGTCGATAACTTCTTTTAGTTGGCTTGGGTCTTCCTCTGTCATACTCTCTAGTCTGCTTAGGTTCAACTCCTTGGGCCATTTCTGTAGCCTCAACTCGGATGATTACTTTTTCCTTTAGCCAGTCTCTCAAGGCTTTCACTGACCGTATCTTATGTTGTTCACTAAGCCATCCGGCGACTGTAATTTTCCACTTGACGTTCCGATAGTTTCTTTACCAGCAGGCTATGCAATGCACCATCTCCCAGTTCCCCACTGCGCCCCTCAGCTTTCCACTGCGCCCCTCAGCTTCCAACTTCACTACGGTTACCCGCACAAGATCAGCAAACTTTTCGAAAGACTGAATGTCATTGTTCTTCAGAGTTGGCATGTTTTCTAACTGATCGAGGTAAGCTTGCAACTGACGACGTTGTCCACCAAACTTATATTTTAATATGTCCTTAGCCTCATTATACTCTGGCGGCGTAACACCCAGTCCACGAATTGCATCAAGGGCATTTCCTGAAAGACTTTGACGTAGTCGAGCCATTTTAATATTTACAGGCTCACTCCCTTCATCAACTAGGCTGATGAATAATGCCCAAAAATCCTCAAATCTAGTTTTATCACCATAATAGACTGGAACTGTTAGTGGTTTAAGACGATGATGGGTTATACCAGTGAAATTGCTTGCAAAACTCGGAGGGCTTGCTTGGGTTGTTGTAGGGTCCGGACTAACATTAGCTGTGATTGTACTGGTAGTGGGATTGCTTGCTGAACTCGGTGGGCCTTCTGTGTCCACAACAGGTGCTGGACTATTATTGACTGTGGTTGTTCCAGTTGGATTGCTTTCAGAACTAGGTGGGCTTGCTTCAACTGTGGGCGCCGGGCATACATTGACTACTTCCGATACATGTTCTTGTTCTGAAATACTTGATAAGTATTCTTTGATTACTTGTTGTGCTTTCTCCACAGCCTGGTGTCCATCTGATTCAAAGTTTTCCTGTTCTTTTAGAATAGCTTGCTTACCTTCAGTTTGGTTGGATTTGATATAAGTTGAACACAATTCATCCATCACAGATACACACGTTTCCAATGCATCCTACAAAGCCTCAATTTCAGCTTCGATTTCATCACGATTTAATTTACTCTTCTGAGCACACTTTTTTTCTAAGTTATGCCTAATTTTTGTCACATTTGTTTTTCTTGCTCGTTTTTCTCGCTTTAATGCAAGCACTGTTTCTTCCAGTTCAAGATCATTCTTGGATACACCTAGTTCATCTGTCTCATTAGTTAACGGCATTATGTCCCTTAGTAAATAAGCTTTGTTTACTGATTTTGCTTTATTTTTGTTCCAAAGTTATATTTAAGAAATAAATAACTTCACCATAAAGTTCCACAAGTATATCAACAAATCAGAATCAATTATAACTTTAGTTTGTACTCACGCGTCCATTAAAATTACTGTTTATCCCCTGCTTTTCCGGCTATCCCCAACCATCAAGTACGTGGCACAGTATATTTAATACTTTATTAATATAAACTGCGGTCTAAATTCCAAAGGGCCATTCCATTTAATGTCCACACACCCCCTACGGATGAGCTTTTCTGAAGGGTGACTCAAAAAGTCGTTTCTGAGGGGTAAGGGGAAAATTTGCAAATTTCTGAGGGGTGTTTTGTGTCGGCACTTTGATCTTTTTTTCTTAGGGGTTAAAATTTTACTGACCTCATCCGTAGGGGTGTGTGTGGATTTTAAATGGAATGGCCCAAATACCCCGTAAACTTGCTATAATTCGATGTAATTATATCGTAGAAACACCCAATAAAGTTTAAAACAAAGCCGAGTTTACCACAAATTTATAAAACGTCTCCGAATATTGTTCCAATACCGATACAACTACGAATAAACGCTGTAAATACGCCAACAGTCCTCGAGCACGATGTTGTGAAATTTTCCCCGATTTTAACCACGAAATTCACTTTAAAAACCCCAAATTCCTCGAATTGTCCTGGCAGGATCGC